CCTGGGCAACATGGCGAAACCCTATCTCTCTCTCTCTTTTTTTTTAGACGGAGTCTTGCTCTGTTGCCCAGGCTGGAGTGCAACAGCACGATGGGCACGATCTTGGTTCACTGCAACTTCCACCTCCTGGGTTCAAGTGATTCTTCTGCCTCAGCCTCCTGAGTACTGGGACTACAGGCGCGTGCCACCACACCTGGCTATTTTGTGTGTTTTTAGTAGAGATGGGGTTTCACAATGTTGGTCAGGCTGGTTTTGAACTCCTGTCCTCACCATCCTCCCACCTTGGCCTCCCAAAGTGCTGGGATTACAGGCGTGAGACACCACACCTGGCCAAGAAACCCTATTTCTACAAAAAATACAAAAATCAGATGGGTGTTGTGGCATATGCCTATAGTGCTAGCTATTTGGGAAGCTGAGGTTGGAGGACTGCTTGAGCCTGGGAAACTGAGGCTCCAATGAGCTGTGATCATGCTACTGAACTCCAGCCAGCCAGGGTGACAGACTCAGACGATGTCTCAGAAAACAAAAACCAAACACACACCACCACTAAAAAAAAAAAAACCCAAAAATCTTGTACTTACTTTTCTGCACACTAGAGGGAGTGTTTCCATAACTTCTAGTTGCTATGAATGGAATGCTTGTTTTTCTTTAAACTGTATGTTGAAGCTCTCCAGTTCTCAATGTGATAGTCTTTGGAGGTGGGGCCCTTGGGAAGTAATGAGGTTTGGATAAAGTCATGGGGGCATAATGGGATTGGAACCCTCAAAAAGAGATAAAGAGAGGCTATTGCTCTCCCTGCCACAGCAAGATGGTAGGATGGGCCGAGTGCAGTGGCTCACGTCTGTAATCCCAGCACTCTGGGAGGCCAAGGTGGGAGGACTGCTTCAGCCCAGGAGTTCAAGACCAGCCTGGGTAATACAGTGAGACCTGTCTCTACAAAATTACAAAAATTTAGCTAGGCATGGCGGTATGCACCTATAGTCCCAGCTACTCAGGAGGCTGAGGTGGGAAGATCACTTGAGCCCAGGAGGTTGAGGCTGCAGTGAACCAAGCTTGCACCATTGAACTCCAGCTGCCTGGGTGACAGAGAGAGACCTTCATCTGTTTAAAAGAAAAAAGAAAGAATAGGAAATAAGAAAGAAAGAAAGAAAGAAGAAAGAAAATGAAAATGGGACATCTATGAACTAAGAATAGAAAAAGGCCCTTCATCAAACTCATTAACTGCCAGTGCCTTGATACCTGAATTTCCCAGCCCCATGAACTCTGAGAAATAAACCTCTGTTGTCTATCAGCCATCCAGTCTGTGGTGGTGTCATAGCAGCCCAAACTAACTAAGACAGTAATTTAAGTGGAAATGCTGAATCAAAGGTTATGAAAATGTTTAATATTAATAGGTACTAAATTACTTCCCCCAAACATGATCGGTTTACACTCTTATCAACAAGGGGTTCAAACATTGTTTTAGGCTGGGCGAGGTGGCTCAAGCCTGTAATCCCAGCACTTTGGGAGGCTGAGGCAGGAGAATCGCTTGAACTCCAGCCTGGGTGACAGAGCAAGACTCTGTCTAAAAACAAAACAAAATGAAACAAAACAAAACAAAAAATGAAACATTGTTTTAATTTACTTTTACTATATAATTGAAGGGGATGAAAATAATTTTGGCTGGGCTCACTGGTGGCTCACGCCTGTAATCCAAGCACTTTGGAGGCCAAGGCGGGCGGATCACCTGAGGTAAGGAGTTCAAGACCAGCCTGACCAACATGGTGAAACCCCATCTTAATTTAAAAAAAAAGAAAAAAAGGCAGGGTGCGGTGGCTCACGCCTGTAATCCCAGCACTTGGGAGGCTAAGGTAGGTGGATCACCTGAGGTCAGGAGTTCGAGACCACCCTGGCCAAGGTGGAGAAACCCTGTCTCTATAAAAAATACAAAAATTGGCCAGTCACGGTGGCTCACGCCTGTAATCCCATCACTTTGGGAGGCCAAGGCGGGTGGATCACTTGAGGTCAGGAGTTCAAGACCAGCCTGGCCAACATGGTGAAACCCCATCTCTACTAAAAATACAAAAATTAGCTGGGTGTAGTGACACATGCCTGTAATCCCAGCTACTTGGGAGGCGGAGGCACGAGAATCGCTTGAACCCAGGAGACGGTCACAGTGAATCAAGATTGCACCACTGTACTCTAGCCTGGCAACAGTGTGAGACTCCTTCTCAAAAAAAAAAAAAAAAAAAATTAGCCAGGCATGGTGCTGTGTGCCTGTTATCCCAGTACTTGGGAGGCTGAGGCAGGACAATCACTTGAACCTGGGAGGTGAAGGTTGCAGTGAGCCAAGATTGTGCCACTGTACTCCAGCCTGAGCTACAGAGTGATACTTTGTCTCAAAACCACAACAACAAAATAAACTAAAAAACCAGGAGACTGAAGTCTCATTATTACTTAAATCGGCCTCCCCACAAATTTGAAGGCTAGGGCTTTTTCAAGATAGTTTGGGTTGGGCATGGTGACTAACACCTGTAATACCAGCACTTTTTGAGGCTGAGGTGGGAGGATTGCTTGAGTTCCTGAGTTTGAGATCAGCCTGGACAACATAGCAAGACACCATCTCTGCAAAAATGTTTAAAATTCGCCAGTTGTAATGGTGTACACCTGTAGTCCCAGTGACCTGGGAGGCTGAGGTGAGAGGATCGCATGAGCCAGGGAGGTGGAAGCTGCAGTGAGCCATGATCGCCCCATCGCACTATAGCCTGGGCAACAAGAGTGAAATACTGTCTCAAAGAATTAAAAAAGAAAAAAAGAAGAAAAGAGACAGATTGGTGGGCAGGTGGCTAGGAAATGGGTGGTGCTGATTGACTGGGGGTGCTATCATAGGGATGTGGAAAATGATCCTTGTGCAGAGTCCACTTCTGGGTGGGGCCACAGGACCAGTGAATCATGAGTCTTGGATCCGGGAGGAGTCAATTGGTTTTCTGAAAAGCAAAAGCCTGAGCTGGGTGCAGAGGCTCTCGCCTGTAACCCTAGCAGTTTGGGAGGCTGAGACAGGAGGATTGCTTGAGTCCAGGAGTTTGAGACCAGCCTGAACAACAGAGCTAGACCTCATGTCTACTAAAAATACAACTGTCCCCCCAAAACCAAAAATTAAAAGCCAACAAAATTGGCCAGTCATGGTGGCATGCACCTGCAGCCCCAGCTACTTGCAAGGCTGAAGTGGAAGAATCACTTGAGCCTGGGAGATAGAGGCTGCAGTGAGCTGTGACCACTGCACTCCAGCCTGGGTGACAGAGAAAAACTTCGTCTCAAAGTAAACAAAACAAAACTGAAAAGACATCTCGAAAGGCCAAAAGTTCAACTACAATAGTGATGTTATTTATAGGAATAATTGGGGAAGTTACAAGTCTTGTGACCTCTGGAACAATGGCTGGTAATCGTTTAATTATGCCTGCATCTTAGCAGAATTCAGACCCCTCTCATCCTCCCTAACCTGGTGGCCTTTCATTATTTTTTACAAAGACAGTTCAGCTTTGGGAAGGGCTATTATCATTTAAACGGTAAATGAACTTTCTCCCAAAGTAGCTTGGCCTATTCCCAGGAATCACCAAGTGCCATTTGGAGGTTAAAGGCAAGAAGGAGATGGTTAGATTAGATATTTTTCACTGTCATAATTTTCTCACTGTTACAATATTTGCAAGGGTGGTTTCACTCTTTTTTTTTTTTTTTTTCCTTTTTTAAAGCTTTTTTACAGACAGAGTCTCTGCCCCCCAGGCTAGACTCATTGCAACCTTCGCCTCCCAGGTTCAAGCAATTCAAGAGTCTCAGCCTCCTGAATAGCTGATACCCACCGCTCCACTTCTGCCACTGGGCGTGGACTCCTCTCCATGAACAAGTTCCTCTCACTAAGAACTCGTTTTCTTCACACCTAGCTCTAG